GCCAGGTATCCCCACTTTACTAGCCTGGATTTCACAGAAATCTCAGAGCTCTGAATTCAAATCTTGAGGCTTTTTTGAAGGATAGGATAGCATTCTTTTGGTTAGCTGATAATTAGTTAGATTTATTACTCCTAAATATTTTGGCCTGATATGTGAACCCCCATTTATACTATTTCCCTAAGGCCTCAAAATTTTAGGGGTGGGTCTATGCTTTGTGAAGATAGATATTAATTAAATAACCACACAAAAATGTAAAATTGAGCCAGCGTACTAAGAAAAAGTACACCATCTAGGTCTCCATTAAAATGCTCTATCTGACCCTCCATTGCCTGGGTTCTTGTGCTTCTCAGGGTCTCCCAAGTTTCCCTGAACCCTGTACAACCCTTATCTTCCTTCCCAACAACCCAGAACACTGGCTAAAATATTCTATACTATTCTTACCCCTTCTGGACATACCTTAACTCCTGCCCAACACGGTGAATTTCATCCTTGTCCCTACCTCTAGGCACCACACAGCTGCCCAGACTGGCAGGCAATTTCACCTCTTTGTATCCACGTGTCTTACATTTCTTCTGCTTCCATCTGTCTAAACTCAGCCTTGCAGCCTAAATCAATTTCTTCTCACTTGGTCTTCAGCAGCCACGGAGAAGCTGTTCCTGACTAATTTGGAGAAAAGGTAGCAAATTCCCTGACTTGCGTCTCTGAATAGGCACCCCGCCCACTAGCTGCTTTTAAGCATGCATCTCTTTCTCTTGTACCTGACATTACTGTAATTCACTCAGGCTCACTGTCTGTATGTTCTTGATCTCTATCAGCCCCTATGATGTCTGGGTTAGATTGCAATGCTTCCAGAGGGCAAGGCTCCATCTACCCTGTGTCCCTGGACCTTGCTCAGCAGACTGGCATAGGTAGGTGTTTAATAAAGACTTTGATGATGGAAACAGAGCAGCCCTCTATGCCTCGAGCACTGAAAGTGCACAAGAAGCAATCCACTATCACAGCCAGACCACAATCATAGCAGCCCTCCTGCCAGCCTGGTGGCTGGGCACACTCTTCCCTTGAGACAGGAAGGGAGAATACACTCTCGCATCCAAGACTGTAACAACAATAGTAATAATAATAATGTAACACTGTGACAGCACTGCTCTAATGATGCTGACTGATTTGATATTCAGAATAATCTTATGAAGTAAGGCCTATTATCATTATCAAAGTTTTTAAACTATTTATTAACTTATTTAAAAAGCAGAGCGAGGGAGAAAGTGAAAGAGATCTTCCATTCAGTGGTTCACTCCCCAAATGTCTGCAACACCTTGAGTTGGGCCAGGCTGAAGGCAGGAGCCAGGAACTCCATATAGGCCTCCCACATGGTCAGCAAGAGTGCAAGCCCTTGGGTATCCTCTTTGCCCTCTCAGGTACATCAGCAAGGACCTGGACAGGAAGCAAAGCAACAGGGACTCAAACCAGCAATCTGGGACACTGGCTTTACAAGTGGCAGCCCAACCCACTTCTCCACAATGCCAGCCCCCACTCCAGTTTTTAAAGTGAGGAATCCAAGCTACAGAGAGGCTGTGCAACTTGCCCGAGTGTCCATCTAGGACCACCTGGCTTCAAAGACTTCAGCTTGCCTACCCTTGACACCATCCCTCAAGGCAGATGAGTGTAGCTTCAAACAAACATAGAAAGTGAGGAGCTGCTAACTGGGCTCTTTCCCTAACTCTCTAGGGTCCCTGACCCTTGTGCAGTATGAATCAATGTCTGGGAGAAAGACAGTTGGCCACTTAGTAGCTTTCCTACATGGAGCCAAATGGGTCTTCAAAGCATTTTTTCACAGCCCATCCTTGTCTCCTCCTGTCTTCTCTTCTGTTTTTCAAACATGCTAAGCTTGTTCACATTCAGACTTTTGAACTCACTCTTTCCTTCATTTGGAGTGCTCTTGCTCATATCTATACATTTCTGGGTCCCTATCACATAGGTGTTGGCTCACATGGCTGTAGGAAAGCTTTTCCTGATCACCCTCTCTAACTTTGCTGTACCTTTTCCAGCCACTCCCTTTCATTTTGCCTCATTTCCCTGTGTTAGTGTCACCAGAGCACACACACTATCTGAAATTACTTTCTCTATCAGTGTACTTGTCTACTTCATGTCTCCCACAGAACATCAGCTTCAAGAAAGCTTAGCTCTTATTTGTTTTGTTCACTCCTGGATATTCAGTACTTGGAACAGCATCCGGCACACTCTAGGTGCCCAATAAATATTTGTTAAATAAATGTATGTATGGGTGAGTGGATCTACTGTCTTTTGTAGATACTTTTGTGCAAAGATGGAGCTAACTGGATCCTCCCACTTCCCTGCTCCACATATATTGCAAGCTCTTCACAGGAAGAGACCGGATCTTCATCCCGGTCAATGTTTTAGCCCTTAGAACAGGAGCAAATGACTAGGGCGATGAGTGGGAGGAGCAGCTGTTTAGTTCCTTTGTTTGGGCAGGAGAAAGACCAAGACATTCAGCTACTGAGATTGCAGGCTGTCTGTACTCCCTCTCAGCCATGTGTATGCAATTGCTGGATAGCTCTGTCCCTGAACAGAAGATAAAATACAGAAATCTCAGCCTCTCTCTCTCTCTCTCTTCTCTCTCTCTTCTCTCTCTCTCTGTCCCCCTCTTTTCTAGAGTTTCATACACATCCTCTCCTTTGTCTCTCGTCCTCAATGAAATGTAAAGAAAACTGAGAAGAAAGTGGGAAACTGTGTTCTCCACATCCAAGGTAGTATTCACCCTGCTTTTATTCCAAGTATAACACAATCCCATTAAAACCTCCAGCTCCTGCACAGATAAAATAAACCCCTAAAACATAATAATCATGTGCAGGATATGCTTCATTTGATCCAATCCTAATGCAGACATGGCCCCCTGATCCTCCCACATCATAATAGAACCCATTCCTTTATTAGTCTGAGCTTTTTTCTTCAATGCTTTACATATGACACATAGGAAAAATAATGAACAAGAAAGGAAAGTGCCTAACCTCCAACTGGATCTTGTAGCACATGAGAGCATTTCATGATATTGCTAATGATTCTTTTCTTTTTGTGATAAAATATAGCTTTCCTACTATCAAAGCACATGCTCATTATATATTCATCCCTTCTTAGGTATTTTTACGCTCATCATCTACTGAATCTTCCCAACACACTTATAAGGAAAGGAAGGGTCAGAAAATGCTGTCTTCAAATAAGATAAGTTGGGGAAGGGTCCAGAGTTATGGAGCTATTAGAAGACACTCACATAGCAGGTGAAACGTTAATCCAGGACACATTCCAAGTCCTTTCATTTTAAAGAGACAATAATGTTTTGTCAGAAGCCACATTCCCAGCACCCCTGTGGCATACAGACTGAGTCAGTCCATGGGAGAGAAGAAATACCTAAAGAAGATAGGAAGATAATTAAAAAAAATAAAAGATGAGGATCCCCAATGGGGCAAGATCTTGATTCAGAACACCCCAAAGTGAAGCTCACCCTTGCTATCAGCCAAACCACCATACCGTGTAGCTCTACTGAAGGTTCAACCCTGGAAGTGGACAGAAGGTACTGAGCAGGCACCCTGGAACTTTTGCCTAACAGCAGTTTTCAACTCAAGGCAACACTGCATTTGAAATTTTAGATGGTCCAACTCTCAAGAAGGAGGTCCGTATCCCTCAGTCTGGATCCATCAGACATCTACTCACGTAATCTACATCATTCCCTCTTATAATGTTCCAAGTTGTGGGCCCAGCCATTATTGGTCCCCAAAGTGCTTTGTCCATTAATAGCAAAAATACAAATGAATGAATATGTCAACTAAGCCAGCATTTCTCAAAGCAAGCCCTATGCAAGAACATGAGCCAGTCAGGAGCACCAGCATGGCAACCTGCTGCATTGCCACTTGACAGGGAACACCTGGTGACCTTCCCTCTACTGGAGGAACTACTAAAGAAGTAGATGACATGGACACATAACCCTACCTACGTTTAAACCCAATCTTCTAATTCTACCAGGTTTTCAGGTGAGCCTTTTCTATCTGGGATTGTTTGGAAAGTGATTTGACAACCCATAACTCTTGAAGAATGCATGCATATTGTGCAGCCTTGCAGACACAAGATTGTGAGTGGAACAGGAGGTGTGACTGTGAAGATTTGAATGAATATAGTAAAGAGAACCTGCCAGACCAAGTTCTAGTCCATGAAGTATTTGGCATTTCTCATCCTTGGTGGAGAGAGTTTATGAGATATTCTAAGTTGATGTACTTCTGGTGGATGATGAACAGGTATGACAAAATCCTCTCCTCCCTTCTCCATGACATTTAAATTCTCTCTCTCTCTCTCTCTCTCTTACCTACCTATTTTCAACATAGGAGAATTTGAGATGGCCAAAAAGTATCTTAGCAAACCATAGACTCTTCTTGGCCTAGAATCCCTCTCTCCTCAGTGACTAGAACATATTGCTAAGGATGTCAATGTGATAGCGGAGGAGAGAGTCTCAAAGTGCATGAAATAACAAGCTTATTGGGTTTCAACCATGAGAAGAGGGAAAGAGATCTTGGCACACTTTCATAAAAGGAAGAAGTTTGAATCTGGGCCCAAACCGGCACTAATTTTACTAATAACAAATAACATGAAAGGATACCTTTGAAACAAGTATGAATACACCACCAAGTGCCTTCATTGCACCACCTTTTAGATCTTCTGTTCTGCAGAGGCTTATGGGATCTTTGATAGAATTGAAGACACTATCATTGGAAGAAAAATGCGAACCTAGGGTTTAACTGAGCCACAAACAGGCTCCATCAGGAACCAGACACCTATGGGCAAACTTAACCACAAGAAATACCATTGAGGAGCTTTCAAAACTTAGTCCTCGTACCAGAGATAGCGTAACGTTCCCCCAGAGCAAATAGGCAAGTAGCAATGTGCAAGACCTGGAGACACCTCAAAAAAGTGGCAGAAAGGAAAGAGGAACTCACCTGTTCCGGTCCCTGGAAGCAGATACGGCAGAGTGGGGTTCTCATGCCACTGTCCAAGCTGCTGCCCAGTGAGTAGCGATCCTCAGCCTTCTCCTTGAAGAAGTCATCAGAGGAGGCACTGCTGGGAAAGGAGCCCAGTGGCTCTGTGGCTGGGCCACCCCAGTCATCTTCCACAGAAGAAGGCGGCAAAGGTGGTGGAGGTGGCAGAGGAGGGGTCTCCCTGCCCACTACCTCCCGGGGACCCCTCCAGCCTTGCCACCCCCCGGCCCCCAGAGCCGGAAGGGTGTTATTGTTGGCCGCCAAATGGGGGGGCTGGGGGTTGCCGTGCATGGGCAGGGGCGCTGGAGGAGGGCGCCGCAGTAGAAAAACCTTCAGGTCATTGAAGAGCATGCGGCAGCGGCACTTGAGGAGACCCTGGTGGCGCAACATCTGGGGAGCTGGGGCGCACAATCCACAGCAGTACCAGCCACAGCAGCAGCACCACCACCACCAGAGCAGCCCACTCAGGGGCATAAGCATGTGCCTGGAGGAAGCAGTGAGCCTGAGAGCGGCAGCTGGAGTCTTTGAAGAGAGGAGTACGCTGGGTTTTGGGGTCCACAGTGTTTCTGTGTAATGGGGAAATCCACTTTCTCACTGGTGGTTTTTGCAACCCCTCCAAGCAGCAAATAGATGGCTCCCAGGACTGAGAACTGTGAGTCTCTGATTCTGAACTCCTCCTTGGAAAGCCCAACAACAAACAAGTTTTCCTTGCCCTGGCACCTTCACTTCAACTTCATACTTGGCTCAAGGTGTCTCCTTTCTGTTCTTGACCCAGGATGCTGGTAGGAGCAGGGCAACGAAGGAACTGTTGAGGGTGGGGCTGGTGGAGCCTGAAGATCAATGTCTAAAAGTTCCCCATGAAGGAATTCCTTCTCAAATCCCTAGGCAGTGAGGAATCTCTTTTCTATAAAAGGGTAGGGAAGATTATAAACCAAATTTGGAATGGATTGAGCTGGGCTTATGGAAAACTAGTTCAATGAAGAACCGAGGTTGTTCTGTGGGAAAGAAAAGAGAGTTTTCCTCAAGTAGGAGGGGGCTGTTTGAGGGATGGGGAGCAAGGCGGTGCAGGAGGGTAGGTTGGGGGAAGTTTTAATTCTGCTGGGCAGAAAACTGGGGCAATGAAGCCCCAGAAGCACCAGAGTTGCTTTTAAGAGAGCAGTCGGGTGAGCTAGGGAATAGGTTGAGGGTGAAACTGGGCAGTGGGCTTGTGCTTCGCCTGTGCAGCCAAGGGGCTACGCAGAAGAGAGGAGAGCCAATTAGGAGAGCATAGGTGGGAAGAAAGGAGGTTGGGGAGGAAGAAGAAGAAAAGATAGTTTAACCCTTGCGGGACCGCCTCCTTCCTGAGCGCTAAGATCCGGGCTGGAGGAAGGATGTGTGCGTGGGAGTGGGAAGGCGGCGGAGCAGAGCAAAGAGGAAGAGAAGAGGGGCGTGTGGGAGAGGACAGGAGAAAGGAATAGTTACATTCTCTCAGCCCTCGACCCAGCCCTGCTGCAGTCCTTAAATCCGCGGCCCACTCCGCTGGGTTCCATCAACGGTCCCTTCGGGAGAGGTGCAAGGGCCCCGACAGGGGCAGGTGCACGCGGGCGAGCGGCCTCGCCCTGTGCTCCTCGTCCTCCTCTGGGTCGTCGTCGCCCTCCTCGTCCCGCTCCGTGTCTGCCCGCGCCCGCGGCTGCTGCTGTGTCGGCGCAGACTGCTGCTCGGCGCCCGGGTGTCTCCGGGGCGGGGGCTGCTCCGCCTCGTCCTCTGGCTGCTGCCCGCCGTCCGGCGCGGCCGCGACTCCCGGCTTCATGATCCTCCGCCTCCTCCTCCTCCTTCCCGGGGGGCCGGCCCTGAGCCCCGGCGCCCGGGCAGCGCTGCCATGCAACCAGCGGCGAGGCGCGCGTGGGGGTGGGAGCGGCTGGGGAGTGAGGCGGGGCGGGGGCAAAGAAAAATGCAATAACACTAGTGCAATAATCCGGTCCTCAAATAATCAGCGAAGGGTGCTCCGGAGGGTGGGGACGAAGGAGGGCGGCTGCCAGGTCTTCTCAGCAGCTCTGCCCCCGCTGCCCCCGCCCAGGGCGGCCTCAGCCCGCTTTCGACCCCCAGCCCCGGCGCGCCCCTCCCTGCTCCGCGCTGTCTCGGGTCGGCTCCGCTCGCGGCTGCTACCTCTCTCCTCTCAGTCGCAGCGAGGTGAGGCTCGCAGGCAGCGCCGGCTGAAGGTGGGCAGGCGCAGGCAAAGCAGCGCGGCCCAGGTGGGAGGCAGCCGACACTTGGCTCCAGCTTGGTCCTCGAGGCGCCCCGAAACCGTGTATAAATAGATAGCTTGGAAGAGACGAGGAGGAGCAGAGCGCAGCCCGGGCTGCCGCCAGGTGTTGTCCTCCGCCGTTGCTCGGCACCCGCCGCCACGACTGCTGCCCCCCTGGCTCGTTTCCCAGAGGGGTGGCGCTGGAAGGGGGGTGGTGGGGCGGCGGCCGCCCGCGCGCGGACTGGAGCTCCGGCTGCCCAGAGCCCGGAAGGCTCTCGGCGATCTCCGCGGCCGCCGCGAAGCCGCTGCTGCATTCAGCACCCGGGCGAGTGGACAGCTCCCGCCCGGGCCGCGTCACGCCGGTGGGGGCCTGACGCAGACGCCGACGCCGCCGAGAGGTGGAGGAGGGAGAGGGGGCGAGAGGGAAAGGGGCTGGAGCAAGAGGGCGTCGAGCAGGAGCCGGGAATGGGGAGGGACCGAGAGCAAGGGAGGTAACCTCTCGAAGGAGGGCTTCACGGAGGGAAGGAAGAGGGAGCCGAGTACAGAGTCAAAGGAAAAGGCAACTGGGCTGCAGGGACGCGAGTTCCGCGCTAACTCCTGCCTCTGCCCGCAGCTGCAAAGTACTCCTGTGGATGGACTGGTTGCAGGATTTCTGCCCGCTGTGCGCTGTCTCTGTTCCCCTGGACACGTGCAGGCAGTCACCTCCCAGCCAGAGGCCATTCCCCTACCCAGAGAAACGTTTAGAGACAATGCCAGGCTGCAAGCCTGGGGGGAGATAAAGTTGTGTGACTTCCACAATGGAGCTGGGGCTAGGAGACGAAGTGCTGACGAAGACCTCAAAAGAAGGAAGTGCTTGCAACCTTCAAACAGCGAGACGGATACTGGCATTAATTTTGTCTCAGTTTCTTCCTCAAGAAATTTAAGCTGCTGTGGGCAGGGCTGGAGGCTTGTTTGGTCCACTTGGATCCTCTGGCCCTCAGTCAGGGATGGCATGCCACACTTGCTCTGCATACATCATGTTGAAAGGGCTGTGGCCTCCATCACTACAGCTATCATTGCTCTGAGCTAAGTTCTTTCCATTGTGAGTCACAGAAAGCTAGAGCAATATTACAGCCCCTTCTATCCAAGCCTTTCACTGAGCCACTGGCAAAAGGTAATTTGAAAATGGATTTTAATTTCCTCTCCCGCACCTGCTCTGACTCATATCACCTTACCCGATCCTTCTCAAGTGAGCAGAAAAGTGTCCCTAATGTGAAGAGCTAGAAAAGGAAGGAAACTTAAAGTTGTCTACATACATTTCAGTACTTGCACCTGTAGATTTGTATCACTTAAAAGTTTGGATTGCTTTTTTTTTTTTTTTTGCTTCTGTCTCTCTATGTCTCTGTCTTGCTTACACACACACACAAACACACACACACACATACACACACATCTCTAGGGTCCTAGACTTGGAGAATGTATTCCAATGAGTCATCTGCACAGCTGTGGTAATGGCTTTAGAAATACTGGAGCCATCAAGGAGCATGTAAAATCTACACCAGAATATCACTGGCATGAAGTTCAGCCCAATGAATCATAAGAAAACTACTCATTTACTGCCATCTCCATCAATGATTCATTTCTGTAATCCCTAAGGAGTGAGAACCTATGTCTGGATCTTGGTTAACCCAGAGTGGCTACAGGTCTGAATCATGACCCATCACCCACTAAGGATGCCAAGACCAAGCTCCAGGTGAGTGATTTGAAAATGACAGTGATGTTTTAATAACCACAAAATAATACTTATGTACTGGCATGAATACTGTGCTATAAAAGAGAACCTCTTTATTTAGAAAATTCCTTTGTCCTCAAAGAAAATCTTCTATACTCCACTCATCTTGTATCTGTCTCTGTTATTGTGCAAATCACACTCTATAATAATTATCTCATCATACATTCATCTCCCTTCCTGTGACTCAGAGCTCCTTGAATGCAGTATTTATATTTATACATCAGCACATAACATAGTGCCTGAAGTCCAGTAGATGATCAACAAAATGGACTGTGCATGAATAAATGGTCTTTTTGTTTCAGTGAAGCACTCAGATTTTGGTCTTTCAGCTTGGACATGTACATAAGAGTTTTTTCATATGTGACTGAATAGATGCTTTACCCAAAATTGAGTTTTAATGTATTATGCATATAAAATGCTAGTGCCTTGTATGTTGTGCAGTAAGTTGGACAAGAGATATAAAAGCCATAACAGCAGCCCAGATGCCTACCTCCCGTTCCTCTGACTGTGCAGGCTTCTCCAAGTTCTTTTTCTTCACCACAAAGTCATTGAAATGGTCTATGTCCATAAGAAGACTGGCTTTCCCAACTCTCTGACTGAAAGGAAACAGATGTATAGGAACAGAAAGCCTTTACAAGTGGGAAACAATAACAGAATTCTCTTTGGAAAGCCTGAGAGAGGCACGCAAATCTTATTTTGAATAAAATGTGAATCCTGAAAAGCACCTCTCTGAGTCAGATTCTCTTTATGTTGGTGTTGAATCATGATCACCAGGAGTAAAAAACAACCATAAAAACACGTTAAACCAATGGGAGTCCATCAAAACAATCAAAAAATATTTATTGAACACCAATCATATATGAAGAATGGATTTGGAAGATACGGGGAGCATAGAAATAAAGCTGGTGGGAATTGCATCCTCAAGGATCTAGTATCATAAATATGCACATAGTCACAATATAAGGATAAGATTTACAATAATAACTGCTACAAAGGTATAAAAAGTTTAGGAATGATCAGCACAGGAAAGTAATGCTTGCAGATTCACATCAATCAAGAAAGGTAGAAAGAGGTAGAGGGAGATGCAGATAAATGCCAGTGCTCTAGGAAAGCCTTTTTTGAGAAGTGATTTGAACTGAGTTAAAATATGTGTAATTCAGAGGAGGGATGTGTATTCCTGGCAGTAGAAATACTGAATACTCTAACTGTTCAATTTGGGAGAGCTTGAAGATAAGTAGCTATTGAAGACAGAAAGATAGGCTGGAGGGGTCTGCGCTGTGTTACAGTGGATTAAGCTGCAGCTGCAGCACTGGCATTCCCTACGGGAGCCTGTTCGAGTCCATGCTGCTCCACTTATGATCCAGCTCCCTGATAATGTGCCTGGGAAAGCAGCAGAGATTAGCCCAAGTCCCTGAGTCCCTGCACCCACGTGGGAGACCTGAAAAAAATCCTGGCTCCTGGCTTTGGCGTGGCCCAACCACGGGTGTTGTGGCCATCTGGGGAGTAAACCAGCAGAAGGAAGCTCTCTCTGTCTTTCCTTCTTTCTCTCTGTAACTCTACCTTTCCAATAAATAAATACATCTTTAAAAGAAAAAAAGAAAACAAAAGTAGGCTGGAGCCAGATTACAGAAGAACCTAAATGCCACTCTGGGAGAAGATTTGTTCATTGACCAAGTACTTGTTTTAATGGTTTTAAAGATTTGAAGCTGAAGGTGAAGGGCAAAAATAAACTTTATCTCTGAGCAGGTTAATTAACTGGATGAGATTTCATTGCTAACAGGTGGAAAGCAATCAATATTTTTCATTTCACGCCAGAAACTACTCAGATCCTTAATAGATTTATTCTTTTAAATGAGGTTGTTTTCAGATATATTTCATTACATACAGAGATGCTGGGGTCATATGAATTAGAAGAAAAGACGAGGAATGAAAGGCTCTAAGAAATAAGCTTCAGGAAGAAATATTGGGAGACCAGAGATTCAGAAGACTCATTAAGAAACCTATTGTACTTCAGTCTCCAACCAAGGGAGCTATATTGTTTCTCCTTTGCCTGGCACCAGGGCTAGAGAGGATTTTACAGTCTTTAGAAGAAAGAGGTGCAGAATGATTAGACAGTTTTGTGCCTAAGATCTAGATGTAAAGTGTCACATAAGGATTGGAGGCCATACATCTTCTAATCCTCACTGCAGCCTGCTTTCTACTATACCAAAGTTGACTCTCATCATATAGTTCCTCAAGAATAATTGTGAAGTTTCTGCTAATCTGTACATCTCAACAGTTACCACATACTGGGCCACACATTCTTTTCAGGTGTACTTAGAAATACCTGGGTACCAGGGCCGGTGCTGTGGCACAGCTGGTTGGGTTACTGTCTATAGTGTGGGCATCCCATAAGAGCACCAGGTCTTGTCCCAGATGCTCCACTTCTGATCCAACTCCCTGCTAATGTGCCTGGGAAAGCAGTAGAAGATGGTCCAAGTGCCTGGGCCCCTGCCACCCACATGGGAGACCCAGAGGAAGCTCCTGGTTCCTGGCTTCAGCTTGTCCCATCCTTCTGGACTGTTGCAGCCATTTGAGAAGTGAATCAGTGAGGAAAGATATTTCTCTCTCTCACTTTCACTCTCGCTCTCTCCTTGCTTCTCTGTGACTCTGCATTCCAAATAAATAAATAAATATTTAAAGAAAAGAAAAGAAATACCTGGGTACCTGTTAAAAACTGAAAATCCTGGCCAGCACCATGGCTCACTTGGCTAATCCTCCACCTGCAGCGCCAGCACCCTGGGTTCTAGTCCCGGTT